GCAGATAGACTGACAGTGCAGATCAGCTTTCCCTTTGGGGTGGGCAGAGGGAGGAGCCAGTTCTGTGCTGCAAACAGGGGACATTTTGTCTATCTGTCTGTCAACAAGTCAATAAGAATTGAGTGAGTGGCTCCGGGACCCAGCATTATCATAACTGAGTGCCCCAAGAAGGCTAACTTAGAGCCATATTCTCAGGGGAACTGTGGGAGCACCCTGGTCACGGTGGCAGTGGGGAGACACTAACCCCCAAATGCTTCCTGATCTATCTGATGGTCCAGATAATCCAACCTGAACCTAAGCCACTCCCAAATAGGGCTACAGGCAAGAGGCTAGTTCAGGGAAAGATACAGAATGAGTCATCTCCCCTAGATAAAGAAGGTCATGAGAGTGGGGGTCGAATCTTACAAGTTCTAAGGATAATCACAGGATGTCTAGATGGTGAAGATCCTTCCAATGAGTGGGCCCTCCTGAATTTCCTCCTATGGCCCCTCTCTACCATTCACTCTTTCTTTTTTTGTTGTTGTTTTGTTTTCTTAGTGTGGTAAATAAACTGTTCACCTAAAGTTTGGTGGTACCGTGGAAAAATAAGTCTGGCGATGATCTGTTTCTATAAAGATTGCAGCCTATGGAAGAGTTCTACTCTGTAACAACACCTAGGTCATCATGAGTTGTAATTTATTCACATGTAGCCAACAACAATAACAAAAGATATATATAATAAAACATTTGCCATTTCAACAATCTTTACATTAATTATGTTCATCATATTGTTCAACCATCTCCCTTATCTTATTCCCTGATTTTTTCATCACACTTCACAGAAGCTCAGTGTCCCCAAGCATTGAGACCTCTTTCCCCCTCCCTCCTGCCAATCCCTGGTAACCACTAATAAACTTTGGTCTCTATGTACTTGCCTATTTGCCTATTAATGAACATAATTAATGTGAAAAAAAAAAAAAACTGCCCACTCGCTCTTGTTATCCAGAGTTCTTTCTTTTTTTACCCCTTCTTTTGTGTTCAAGGCCTTGGCACCCCTCCACTGAGTAGACTGAAGAAGAAAGTGTGGGTAACTGGGTTGTCTAAAGGGAATGATTTGTTCTCATGGAGTCCTGGTGTGGTGCTACAGGATAAGCACTGGACTGCTAACTGCAAGTTTGGTGGTTCAAACATACCAGCTGCTCTTTAGAAACCCTATACAGAGTTGTTATGAGTCAGAACCAACTCCACAGTACTTAACAATACCGATTTATGGAGAGGCATTGTGGTATCATCAAATATAACAATTGTGAAGACAGCACAGGACTGGACACATTGTCCACAATGTGTCAGCATTCTCTTTAATTGTATTCTGGTTGTTCCACTTTTAGTACTTTAATTTCACAATACCCTCCTTAACACCTTTTCTTTTGCAGGGAAACTGTTGTTGTTAAGTGCTGTCTCATTGGTTCCGACTCATACCTAACTTGTATAGGGTTTCAGAGGAGCAGCTGGAGAGTTTGACTTTGCAGTTCAAACTGACCTTATCCTACAGTGCCATACCATGACTTCCAAAATTATAATGACTGTATGCAGCTGTGGTGGTGGTTGTGCACCACTGAGTTGGTTCCAACTCATGTTGTTTTTGTTAAGTGCCATCGAGTCAGTTCTGACTCATAGTGACCCCGTGTAGAGTTTCCAAGGAGCAGCTGGTGAGCTTAAAGTGCCAGCCTTGCTTTTCAAAACCGACCTTGCAGTCCCATGTATTAACTTGCACCGAGTCTGTGTAGGGTTTCTCAGGCTGCAGATCTTTATGGGAACAGAAAACCTCATCTTTCTCCAATGGAGCATCTGGTAGATTTGAACTACTGACCATGCAGTTAGCAGCCCAGATCGTAGTCCACTACCAAGGCTCCTTTTAAGAGAACTTAAGTACTAGAAATGGAACTAGTATACAATTAAAGAGAATGTTGATATACTGTGGAAAATGTACATGTCACTAATAAATTTGTATGGGAATTGTCAAAAGGAAACCTAACTTGCTGTATAGAAAATTTCACCACAAACATAATAAAATATTTAAAAAGAAAAAAGATCCAAGGTTCTCTTAGCCAACACATTCTCATTCCAGCTTTGCCATTTTCAAAGCTGTATATCATCATCTAGTTTGCTTAACCTCTCTGAGCCTTATTTTTCTCATTAATAAAAGCACATTAGTTATTATTTGTCATGAGAATCAAGGATTCCTGGTGTGGCACTGTAGCATCAGCACTGGATTGTGAACCACAAGGTTGGCAGTTCAAATCCACCACCTGCTCCCTGGAAACCCTATACAGGGTTGCTATGAGTTAGAACTAACTCAACGGCACATAACAACAACAACATGAGAATCAAAAACATGTTAAAGTGCTCTGTAAATTTAAAAACCATATAGAATTGTAAGTTAACTGGGAAATGAAGAGAGCATGATTGAGTTCCAGTCCCAGGGAGTGATAGGGATAAAACAAAGTTAGGGATCAAGCCTGATCTAGACCCTAGGACTAGGACTCATGATTCCATCTCCTGTTTCCTTAAGGAGAGAACTTATGGAGCATGGTAGAACTGCTGGCTTGGTGAACTCTGAAGACCCCTACTTGGGAGGGTGGGAGGAGCCACCAGAAGGTATGGCTGATCTCTTGGAAGCCCCTGAGGCAGGGTTGTGGCTACCTTGAGTTCCTCCCACTCTATTCTTTAGGTCACCAGAGACATCTGTTTTGATTGCCTATTTCACTGTGGGTTAATGCTCTGGACTGCAAGGTGGGTTTGAACTGCAATGTCGGTGGTTCAGGCTCACCAGCTACTCCTTGGAAACCCTATACAGGGTTGCTTTGAGTTGGAATTGACTCTATGGCACTAAACAACAACAACATCTTCCAAGGAGCTCTGGTGGCATACTGGTTAGGAGTTGGGATGCTAATCTCAAGGTCAGCAGTTGGAAACTACTAGCTGTTCCAGTATAGAGGCTTTCTGCTCCCGTACAGATTTACAGCCTTGGAAACCCTATGCAGGGTCAATGTGAGTCGGAACAGACTCCACAGGCCACCACCACCATCTTCTTCCATGGCACTGCCCAACTCCCTCTCCTGGAGGGGTGCTCTGGGGGTGATCCTGCCAGGTTGGATGAAAAACATCTCCCATTTCTTACTCCCCCATTTTTAAACACCCCCATGCTACTGTGCTCATTATGATCTGCATCACTGGTGAGCAGGATAGAAACAAAGGGTTAGGTACAAAGAGGTCATATTACTGCCATTATTGTGTACCATTAGTTCAGTGGTAATTTATTATTCAACATGCTGATGAATAGGCCCTCAAGAAACTGTACAGAGAAGCCAACCAAGATGGGGCAGTACTAGAGCCTAGGAGAGCTATCTCCCAGTTGCAAGCTTACTCTGGAGTTCCATAGCCTCCTCTAATAGAAATAAAAAGGGAAGAGGGGAGGAATAACATTTATTGAGCCTCTGAGAGTTGCCAGGCCCTGTTCTTGTGCTTTTACAAATGTTATCTAACATATTCATCACTACAAAGCCATGAGATAAGAACAAATAATTATCTCATTTGACAGATGAGGAAATTGAGGTTAATTAGATTGCCCAAGGTGGGCAGGACACAGGAATGAAGAGGGAAGAGTTGAGGTTTCAACCCAACTCTGCAAATCTGTCTTTACTTAATAGTCTTGACACAGAAAGGGAAGGGAAACCTCCCTTCTCAGCATCCCCTTCAGCTCACTATCTAGAGGGGAAAAACAGGACCTCCACTCCCAACCCCCAACCATGAGAGGGAATGGAAAGGAAGAAGGGACAGAATCTGCCTTGGGGAAGCCACTGTGCTGAGACCTGGGAATGGTTGCCGCAGACACCCGGGCCACGTGGGCTGAGCCTTTCCTCCTGGGTGCAAAGAAAAGGGCAGCAGGCAGTGACATCCCCAGGTCTCAGTGGGGGCTCTCTTACCCTAGCAGAGGAAGGGTCCTCTCTCCCCAGTTGGGATCCACTACTCTACCTGTCTCCTCTTTCGAGTGGGGGTGGGGGTTGGGGGTTGGAAAGAGGAGTTGTGACTGGGACGGGGTCGTCTGAGGCAGGAGTCTCCAAGTAGAGACAGCTGTGGACATCTCTCTCGGGCCCTGCACTGAGAAATCTGCCTGCCCATAGTGGAGAAAACCAGCATTGGGTTGATCACCCCCTTCCTCCCCCAACTCCGAGATCTTTTTTATTTCTGATTGCTCAAAGACAAGGGGAAGTTGATCAGGCTCGGGAAAGGGGCAGAAGCTAGGGGCCAGAACTCCCGCGGCCTGGAATATATCCAGCAGCTGCCAGATATCTACCAAGCAAGCCTCAGCTGGAGCCACTGCACCCTCAGAGCATGTCCACCCATTTCACTAGCAGGGAGCTTCACTAGAGGCTCCTTCCCTTCTGGTCCACCCCTTTCGGTCAAGGCCTTGGGGGAGCTGTGGTTCTAAGAAGCGGCAGACAGGATCCCAGAGGCTACGGCTGTGAGGTACGGCCCCCCCCGCCCCCCCCATCTGTACAGCCCTCCCCGCAGTGCACCCAGAGCCTCCAAAGAGTGACGGAGCCCCCTCTGCGGCCCCGCCCTCTGGAGGGCTGGCCAGGGCAGGAATGCACTGCTGGCGGGCGGGCGGGCGGTGCAAGAGGCGAGCCTTGGAACATGTAAGGGCATATCCCGCGAGCAGCAGCCCAGCGCTCAGACGAAGCCCAGGGAGCAAGCAAGAGAGGGAGCTCGGCGCGAGCTGGCAGCTGAGATCACGGGCCTGGAGCTACGGGGGCACTGGGAGAGGCGGGGCGGGCAGCTAGAGCGGAGGAGCCAGTGTGGACTGAAGCGGGCGGGGGTGCTCTAGCAGGCCCCACGGAGGCAGCGGGAACCCACAGACCGCGGTGCGGGCGCAGCGGCTAGCTAGCACCGAGTGCCAGAATCCGGAGAGCCAGAGGGGCACCTTGACCGCTGCAGCCTACAGTTTTCCTGGGACCTCGGGGCGCCCATGACGGCGGCGGCGACAGTGCTCAAGGAGGGCGTGCTGGAGAAGCGCAGCGGCGGGCTGCTGCAGCTGTGGAAACGGAAGCGCTGTGTGCTCACTGAGCGCGGGCTGCAGCTTTTCGAGGCCAAGGGCACGGGCGGCCGACCCAAGGAGCTCAGCTTCGATCGCATCAAGGCCGTGGAGTGCGTAGAAAGCACTGGGCGCCACATCTACTTCACTTTGGTAACAGAGGGCGGTGGAGAGATCGACTTTCGCTGCCCCCTCGAGGACCCCGGCTGGAACGCCCAGATCACCCTGGGCCTGGTGAAGTTCAAGAACCAGCAGGCCATTCAGACAGTTCGGGCTCGGCAGAGTCTGGGGACTGGGACCCTTGTGTCCTAACACCCAGGCGTACCATCGAACCTTTATGCCCCCCACCACCACCACTGCGATGTCCAGCGGTCATACCAGGTAAGTCTTCTTTCTTGCTTTCCCTCCTTTTTCCTCTTTCCTCCACAGAGAGAATCAGACTCCCACCGGCAACCCGATCTGAAAGCCCTACCCTCCAAGGGAAGTTCCTGGGCCCAACAGAGATGAGGGAGCCCAAGAGTTTGAGCTTGAGAAGTATGAAGTTCCTGACTGAACTGATTACTTTCCCCTGGCTGTTGAGGTCTCAGGAGGGACCTGAATGTGACCCAGGTGTCTGAGAGGGAGCCAGAGCATTGGGAGGGGAGACTGAAAAATGGAATAGGCCTTCCTACAGGTTGGCTGCCCCCTCACGCAGGCTGTACAAACCCTGTGGCTGCTTGGCCTCTGCCTTCACTTAGGGCTGGGGTCTTGGGCTGTGGCCATCTAGGAGCTGGGAGAATCAAATGAGACCCAATTTGCCCTCGCCTCCTGCTAAGGACAAATATTTGCCATAGGTGAATTTGAGCTTGGAACCCAGGAAACCGGCCCCATGAATCCCAGCTTCCAAGGTGGGAGTTTGACTGGGCTGAACCTGGGACCTCCAGCTAACCATTCTTGAAAGTGGGTTTGAGGTTCTATAACTGAGTTGTTGGGAAACAGGAATGTTGGAGAGTGAGGAGGCCAGGCCAGAGACCTGAAGTGATAACCAATGCCAAGGGGATGGGGAGAAAGTATGCTTCTCTCCCCCAAGTGCCTGCCAAGACACCTCTGGGTCAGGGGATAAAAGAGATCAGAGGAGGGGAGGAGATACTGGGTCCACTAGGTGGGTGGGAAGGTGTAGGATCGGGTCATAATTTGTTGGTTGGAATGTCTTAACCTTTCTTGAGCAATAGAGCGGAAGTTGTTATTAGGTGTCATCAAATTGGTTCCAATTCATTGAGAGTCTTCCTATTTTTCACTGACCCTGTACTTTATAAGTATGTCTTTTTCCAGGGACTGGCCCCTCCTGATAACATGTCCAAAGTACGTAAGACAAAGTTTGCCATCGTCACTTCTAAGGAGCATTCTGGTCATACTTCTTCTAAGACATATCTGTTCCTTTTTTTTTGCTAATGCATGGTATACTCAATATTCTTTGCCAGTACCATAATTCAAAGATATCAGTTCGTCTTCAGTCTTTCTTATTCATTGTCAAGCTTCTGCATGATATGAGAATTGAAAATATCATGGCTTGGATCAGGCATACCTTAATTCTCAAAGTGACATCTTTGCTTTTGAACACTTTCAAGAGCTCTTTTGCAGCAGATTTGTCCATTGCAGTATGTCATTTGATTTCTTGACTGCTTCTTCCATGAGTGTTGATTGTGGAACCAAGTAAAATGAAATCCTTGGCAACTTCAGTGTTTTCTCCATTTATCATAATGTAACTTATTGGTCCAGTTGTGATATTTTTTTGTTTGTTTGTTTAGGGGAGGGGATTTATGGTCAAAAAGGCCCAGCGGAGGGCCCAGGAATAGAACCTTGAAGCCCTGGCTCCCAGCCCTCTGCCCTCTTCCCCAGATGCCACTCCTTTCCATGGGAACCAGAAAGCCCAGGAATGAGGAAAGACTTATACCACTCTTGTCTTAATTTCTCCAGTGGAAACCTTTACCTTGCCCTGCTTCCTATCCTCCCCCCACCTGCCCACACACACATTGCATTACCTTCCTTGCCCTGTACCTTCTCTTCTTTAACAAGGAGGGGACCCCATCTATGTTGAACACCCTTTGGACTCTCTTGTTCACTCCTTCCCAGGTTGTAGTGTGAGTTAGCTGAGAGACTGTGCTAAGAATGTATCCCATTGAGCCCTCAGTCCTCAGGGGTCTGGGAAGAAGCCGACTCCTCCCACTGACCGCATTGTGTTGCACAGATATTATTTTCTGTGTTTGCCTTATGTGGGAAGGGTTAAAAAACTGGTGCAAAACACTCGACATATAGTCGATCCTCTTTACCCCAGTGTCTGCCCCTGCCCTGACTGTTCTTCTCTCTTGCCAGCTTGCCTGCCCCTCTGGCTCACAGGGGCGTGACCCTGCTCCATTTGGCAAGGCAGAAGCCATGGACATGCGGAGGAGGCGTTGGAGCTGAAGGAATGGACGGGGCCCAGGAAGGAGGGCAGAAAGCCATGCAGGGCTGAGGATGAAGATTCAGCCCCTGGACACTCTCAGGCTCTCTGGACACACACAGCTCAAGGCCTCCTAGCCATGAGCCTGGCCTCGTGTACTGTGATGGAGAGCTGGCATCAAAATTCCCTTCGCTGGTGGCCCTACAGAATGCTGTGAGTGCCCAGGCTTTGTGCCATGCCTGGGCACTAAGCCAATGCCTCAGGACTCAGGAGGCTAGCCTGGCATCTGGAGGAGGGGCTGCTCTGAACTTATCTCTGGGGGTCTCCTGCTGCTTAGGTCCTTTTGGGACCCCCATCCATCCAGGCCCTCTCTTTGCACACTTCTTCCCCCACCTCCTGCCCATCTTTCCCCCACTGCGGTGCTGGGTCTAGAGGTGGTGGGGGTGCGGTGGGGGTTTGGCCATTACCATTTCATGCCTATCTCAAAATGAAGATGCCCTTTGAGGGGCAGTGAACACACTGTTTGCCGAGTGAAATTCTTTGCCCGCAAAACACAGTGCTTGGAGAATGTCTCTCTTCCACCACTGTATCCATGATTTACCAATCCATAGTCCATTCTGAAATCTCTAAATCTCAAAATTTGGTAGGAGGAGACACTGAGATCCCAGTAAAAATGGCCTCAGTGACCCTAGGAAGAAGGATCATAGGGTCTGATCTGAGAGATATCTCATTGTCCAACTCAGTCTCTAGAGGTGCCTTTCTATAGACAAATGTCCTGTCCCTGCCATCCTGGGAGGTGGCTCAGCTTTCTGGAATGAACTTGTCCTCTGCCATTTATTGATGTCAACTTGATTCCAGCTCATGGTGACTCATATGTATATCAGAGTAGAACTGTGCTCTAGAGGGTTTTCAATAGCCAGTGTTTTGGAAGTAGATTACCAGGCCTTTCTTCTGAGGTGCCTCTGGATGGAATCCTGGAACTGCCAACTTTTCTGTTAGCAGCCAAGCACCTTACCCATTTTTACCACCCAGGGACTACCCACTATTTGTACACTCAGGATTTATACGCTTCTACAGTAAGGCTTCCTTACTGAATGGTTTAAAAGGAATGATTTCAGAATGGAGGAAACCAAGGCACAGAGAAATAGCTGTACTGAGTAATACAGCAACTGCTAATGAGGTTCTCCCCCTCCCCCTCAGAGACCTTTCTGTATTGTAGTCAGCAGTTTACTCTGCCTTCCACTACCATCTGCCCACATCTGACCTTCTCTATTGCAAAAGCAATGGCCGACTTCAGACTCTCACAGGAAGGAGCAAGAAGACCAAGTGGGCTTTTTCAAAACTGTGAAGTCTCATCAAAAACCTTTGATTCGGACCCATTTTGTTCCCCTTCAGATTTCTCCTCCTTTCCCATCACAATCTCTCTGTCCTATATCTCAGTCCCTCAGAGTGCTTCACATCCAAAGGAGCATCCTGCTTATCTGATATGTGAACCACATCTCCCAACTGAATACGAATTTATTCTACTTGGGACTGTTTACAAATATCTCATTATCTCATTCCGTTAATTCTCTCATTAGGATGTACAGCTGTATATGGGTGGCTTAATTTCAGCATGGCAAATAAGTCTCATGCTGGTTCTGAGCAGGACTGAGAAAAATCTGGGCTTAACTTGGTTTGTGATCAGTGATGACATCTGTGTTAGGCTTTGGGAAAGAGATGGGGGAATAATCACATTTATATGAGAAGTGGTAGAGAGAAGGTGGTATTTGCCACCTCTTCCTTCAGGGTTCCTGGTGGTGCCGTGGGTTAAGCATTGAGCTGCTAACCAAAAAGTCAGTGGTTTGGACCCACCAGCTGTTCCATAGGAGAAAAATGAGGCAGTCTGCTTTGTAAAGATTTGCAGTCTCAAATCCTTTGGATTGGCTCTACTCTGCCCTCTATTCTATGATGTTGGAATTGACTTGACATCAGTTGTTTGGGTATGGGTTTCCTTCATTCAAGTTGATATATTAATGGGGATCGGTTAGCTTCTCCAATGTTCCTATAAAACAACAACCTCAGAATAGAATCCTTATTGTTACAATCAAATCCAAAGGTGGCCAATAGTGGGAATTCAGTCCCAAAGAAAGAAATGAGCTATCCAGGCTCCCAGGAATGATGCCGAGTTTATGAATAGATGGGGCTCACTTTTCCAGAAAATGTACTAAGTGCCTTGCTTGTGCTCAGTATTGGTGATATGGAGATGGAGCAGATAATGATTCCGCCCTCAGAGCCCAGAGCCCAGTAGGGAGCTAAATAAATGCCACTTGACACCAACCAAATGAGGAATATAATTCACCACTTGACACCAACTGAATGGGGAAAAACAACATGGACATCACCACCGCTGTCCAGTACTGTGCTTGATAGGCTCTGTCTTTTTTGGGGGGGTGGGGGCGGGGTGGGGTGGTGGTGGTGGTGGGCAGACATAGTCAGAGTCAAGTGTCAGGGCATGGGGCAGGAGGAAGCAATAGGAGTAGGTACTTCCAAGAATGTTCTGGTTCTTGCCCAACCTCAGCTTCAGTTTTTCTCTTTGCTAGGAGAGTCCCAGTTTCTCCGAAAAGTGTGTGCTGCTGAAGGTCCTAGCCCAGCCCTCAGTGCAGAGTTGGCCCTCAATCTAGGTGATCGTTGTTAGAGGCCGTCAAGTTGAGTCCGACTCAGTGACCCCATGTGGAAAAGAGCTTCTCCAGAAGGTTTCCTAGGCTGTAATGTTTACTGGGAGTCCTGGTGTGTTGTTTTGGGTTAAAGTGCTGGACTGCAAGGTCAGTTTGAACTACAAGGTCAGTGGTTCAAGCTCACCAGCTTCTCCTTGGAAACCCTATACAGGGTCACTACAAGTTGGAACTGATTC